ACAATTAAAACAATGAATCAAAAATTGCAACAATTGCACAAAAATACAGTATAATATATATACATATAAATATATATATATATATATATAAAATAAAACTGTATAATAATAATAATAATAAAATTAAGTGACAATTTGATACGCTTTGCTCTATTTATTGCATTATAAACCCAGATATAAATATATATACAGTATATACCCGGGTATTAAAGTCTCTCTCTCTCTTTCAGTGTTTTTTTCGTTGAATAAAAAAAATATATAATATATATATAAAACTTAAATTTATGTTGACATAAGTGTAGCATTTATTTCATTTAACATATAATACACAGTATTACACAACACACACAACTACTACTTGTATATGTGTTTGCAATTACTGGTTGTCTATCTGTATGTAATGATACTGTATATACAGTTTAAGTAATACTACTGTTATATCAGTTGTTGTTGTTAAAGGTTTTTAAATTAAAATGCAATCAAACTATAAAACTTTACAATTGCTTTTATATTACAAAATTAAACTATAGATTTACTGAATAATATATATATACAGTAATATATATATATATATATATATTGTATATCATTAGAAAAGGGATGAAAAGATTTGTTTAGTTATAAATAGAGGAGAGAGAGAGAGAGAGAGAGAGAGAGAGAGAGAGAGAGAGAAAGAGAGAGAGAGAGAGAATAAAGATTTAATTTAATAGATTTTATATAATAATAATAATACTTGAATAAAACAAAAATGCAATTTTCTGCATAAAATATAAAGTTTATTAAACATAATACTCGTTGTTTACGATAATATTTAAAGTACAGTATATATTAGATATATATATATATATATATATATATATATATCTCTCGACAATCTGTGACAAAATTTATATATAAAATACAACATATTATCTATAAAGTGTATTTCATAATAATTTTTTGAATAGAAAACTACTGATAAAATAATAATAATAATAATAAATGTAGAGTTTAAATATATATATATATAAATTAAACTTAAATATTTGTTTCAATTACATAAAAATAAATTATGAATTTTTGAATCATAAAATTGTGTAAATATTTTGTATAAATATTGTTAATAATAATAATAATACTTATAATGACAATAATAATAATTTTTACTTAAAATCTAGATTCTAGACAATATGTTTTCAACAACAACAAAAAAAAATCAAAATATATTAATTGCAATATAAATTTTTAACTATAATTTATTTTAATAAATTAGTATTTTAAAACTATCCAGTATTTTTTAAAATGATAAAAATATTCAACAACAACAACAACAAATAATAAATCAATATTAAAATTTTTAGGTATTTGAACAAGATCAATTTATTTTTATATGCTTATTGATTTCCGATTTGTATATTTTTAAAAAAATAAATAAATAAAAATAACAGTTTTTTTTAGTCTATTTCCCAGTAATTTTGTTACCACTGGTTATTTTTATAGTAAAAAAAAATAAATACTCATTTATTTATTTTTTAAAAAACATATTTTATTTAACTCAAATAAATTTATTTATTATTATTATTATTATTATTAGATTTATTTTATGGAAAAAAAACTGATAATAATTTATTTTTTTTATATATATATTGTATATTACTGTATATATATATATATTGTATATTACTGTATATATATATATATATTGTATATTACTGTATATATATATTGTATATTACTGTATATACTATATATATATATGATATAACATTACTTAATATAAATTTATCCATAGAAAGCAATTTGTCATTTACTCTCAAAATATAAATTTAATAAATCTCGACAATATTGTATATAAATTTAATTTTATACTTTATTATATGATATATATAGAAAAACATATTGTATTTTAAGAAAAATGATATTTTATAGTATAGTACACTATTTATATTTAAGTAGTAGTATATTATTGATTATTTTTTTTTTAATAAAAAATATATATACAATAATAATAATAATAAAATTATAGCTGATTAAGAAATAAAAAATATTTTTATACAATATTTTGTTTTTTTTAAATATTAAAATTAAATTATTATTATTATTTTTGTTGTTGCATTAATATAATTAAATTTACAATCGTATAGAAAAAATCGACACAATTTTTATTTGTTAGTTATTATTAGCAAATTTTTTGCTATAAATTCATAATTTTTTAAGTTATAAAACTTTATTATTATTATTATTATTATTAAACTGTATATACAATGTGTATAAAAAAAACTAAAATTTTTAATTACACTATCAATTATAAATAAATATAAATTATATACAAAATACACACCAGAAAAAAAACATTAGTATTTAATTATCTATTTTTTGTTGGTTTAGTCAACGAAACAAAAAAAATTTACACTAAATATACGGTAAATATCAATGAATATGCCGTTCAAAACCAAAAATGAGATTCTCTTTCAGAGCAGCCCTTCCTCTTGAGTCCCAGCAATTCATCAATAGGTGCTCTCTCTCTCTCTCTCTTGTAATCGTCGATTCAAATTCAAGATCTCGGATGGTTTTTTCGGGTGGTGTAGTCATGCAATAATCGGGTGCAGCCGCAGCCGCCGCCTAGACTTAATGGTGGACATCACTCAATGGTTCAGATTTAAAGACACCGTTTCCCGAAAAACCGAATTTCTTTTCAATAAAATAGACTAACAATTGGATCAGACATGTCTCCTGTCGTCGATCATAGCAATGATGGTCATCAGTGGCGTCGAACAAATCGGTAAACTCTTTGCGAACAACATCCGGATCGTATAGGAAAACAAACGGACATTCGGCCAACTGTTCGACAGTAACCTGTTGTTCGTCGTGTAGATAATGCCAAACTTTTTCGGCATTTTCCGCACAAAATCGCCGAACCAATGGATGAGTACCGATTCGTTGTCGGACACCGTCCAGATCCAGATTGAGACGGTTGTTGACAAACGCTGCTAACGTTGTCTTTCGGCTTCGTTGGCCGCGTTCGGCGCGTGTCAGTCGTTCGCGAAAACCTTCGAAGTACTGTTCGGACGCAATCAATGAGTCCATAGTCATCTCCGATAGATTTTGTTGGCGCAACTCATCGACGCGCGTCAACACGTCCTTCCATTGGACGACAATACGTAGGGCGCGATCACTGCCGATAAATGGTCGCAAATCGTCGTTTAGCTTTAGCTCATCGATTCGCCGACCGATTTCGCGTGTCTTCAGCGTCAGCACTGATACCGCCGATGCTATCTGTTTGTCGGAAAATCCTGACTCTTTCAGTAGCTTCATGTTGGCCTCCAGTGTCGACCAACGTGTGTCCAACAGTTTCGGATATTTAAATACTAGCTCACGAGTCGATTGGCCGCCGATAACTGGCGCCCGATTGACTATATTGCGGGCATTTTGGGTATCGAGTGTCAGCAGAACAACGTTTTTGGCGATTCGTTCGCAACTCATGCCGATATCGCGGGTCAAAAACAGTGCATTCGTGACCACCAAACTCAACGAAACGTTACCAAACTTTTGGCCAGCAGTTAGCCGCTCCGTCCGATCCAAATCGATTGACAATAGTATTGAGATATATTTGGCCAGCGCTGACCGTCGGATTTCGTCGACCGACATATCATCCAGCGATTTGTTTGCAAAATGTTTTTCGATTGGCCGCCGAAACTCGTTGTCAACGCCTGCAGTGTCCAGTAGATGACGGACGAGAAGAATCGGTTTTTTCAAATCGTTGAGAAGTCCGCTCTCGCGAAGCGATGACACCGACTGGCGGACAACAGTACGGAAACAGCTTTCAGAGGCGGCAACCGATAGCCGACGGAAACCGAATTCCCGTAAAATCTCCAGTCGTTTGCGTAGTGTTCGCGGATGAAGAACAAAGATCTGCGGATTAAACTTAATGTCTTCGGCGGTAAAATTTGAGGCCACCATCGATACAGTGCTGTCGATGTCGGCCATCGATCGCAACTGCGAACCGAATATCGGTCGACAAACGCCAGTTGTTCGGCGGCTTTCGTCCGACGAAAATCGGAAATGTGTTTCCAGTGATCGGCAAAAGTAGTCTTGAAGTGCGGCCACCGATAGCGTGTCGTCAGGAAGAAGTCGTGCGGCGGCAGCGGCGGACGTGTCGGGCAAACGGCCACTGAATAGGTTTGTGCCGACAAACGTACGGCCAGTTATCGGCGGCGGCGGCCGTCGTCGCCGGCAAACGGGTCGTAGAAATCGTGACAAACATTGTTTGGAAAACATTTGGTTTTTATTAAAATAATGTTTTGTTTATTACATTAAGTGATGAAATAATTCAAAAAATTACGCGAAAAATGTGTTCAAAAAAAAGTGTTTATTATTATTATTAACTAAAAAATTTATTATTAAATTTATTTAATACAAAAAAAATTATTATCTAATTTCCTATTTTTTTACTAAATTAAAAAAAATTAAATGTTTTGATTGATTAATATAATAATAAAAAGTTATTAAATTTGAATTTTGAAATGTTTTAGTCAAACATTTTTTGTTTTTTTGTGTTTTTGTGTTTCTAACAGAATATTCTTGTTATTAATAATTATAAAAATTTCATAATTTTTTTTAACTATTATATAACCAATATATTAATAATATTGAAAACAAAACAAATAATTTTTAACTAATTAATTAATTATAATATAGATTTCAATGTTTAAAAAAAATTAAGTAATTTATATATAATATAGTAAAACATAATTTTGTTTTTTGAATGTTATTTTTGTGTAAAAATAAGTTGCTATTGATATACAGTTATTTAATTTTTGTTGATAATATCAAAGTTATATCAAATAATAATAATAATAATAATACAATTTATTTATTATTTATAATACATGTTTCATCACAATAAATACAAATACCTGTATATTATTAATACTAAATTTATTATACTGTATGTACAGTATTAATACAATGTATTAATCAGTATTACGTTATTTAGTATTGATATTATTATACAGTAGTATTGACAACACATTGTAAATGTATAGTAAATATTGCGCTCTTTTGATGAAATATTTTTGATGTTATTATAATTGATTTAATTTTTTTTTAAAACAGTATTTAATTAAAAAAAAAAACATTTCATTCAAACAGTTTAAATCCAATATCACTACTACTGTTTCAAGCGATGCCACAGATCAGCTTCAGTCGGGTCTCGGAGTTTTCATCGGAAGATGTGGTCAGTCAATGGTTTTTTAGGACACATATGTCGTCCGAAACATTAAAAAACAAAAAAGTTTTTTAAAATCTGTTTTTTTTGTATACTTTTCCCGATATATTTAAAAAAAAGGCCAACCAATTGGTGGCCAACAATCTGCTGAATAAGACAAAAGACTACAGATCGTGGAAGTGTCACAATTGGCAACAAACGGCTTCAATCGTATTGGACGCGGACAACGATGACGGCAGCGGTGGCGGCTATCGAGTGGACAACATCGAGATTGGCAACGATTGTTCAGCGTTTGTCGAAGTTTTTGTGGCCAACACCCTAACGGATCCGAAATGCAAGTTTCAGGTACTGTTGTCCACTTCGTCGTTTATGACACCGTCGGAAAGTAAGGCACTGTCATCACTGTCCGCCACCGCTACAGCCAATGATGGCAACAACAACAGTAGCCGAATCCGTAACTTTCCCAATGATAAACTGTCGCCCAATTCACGGAACGAAAAGTGGAACCGCTTTAAGATTGTCTGCACTCAACCATTCAATAAGGTTTGGTATTAATAATTTGATTTAGTTAGTCATCTCATCCGACAATTTTACCGCTACTTTACTACTACTACTTGTAGACAATTGGCTACGGATTGTCATTCATACGGTTCAATACCAAAGAGATTACCGATGATGATGACGAAGAAATGACTGCCCAATCATCTTCAACATTAAACATCGGACCGTTTAGACTAAGATCGGCGGCAAATGATGACTCGGACGAGTCTGGCAGTACAAGAGGCGGATCGTTATTTAAAAACCGAAACAACAACAATTCATCACCAAATTTACCGACTTATGGATCACTGTCGACAGCTGTTGGTCACGGTTTAGGTGGTCAACAACAATCATCAACAACAAAGGCAACACCGAACAAACCGAAAGCAACTACAACACCATCACCAGTAACGACACCGAAACTGGCGACGACTACTAAGCCGTCATCGATGTCATCACACATGCCATCGCATAAGACATTATCCACTGCTGGCAATACCGGTGTTGCCGGTAGTAGTAGTAGTAGTAGTACTGGTGGTCCATCGCCACCGAAAAAACAGCGACGAATCCGTACGGATGTACCATTCAATCAGTTGATGAAGAAAGTTGTAATCGCATTGAGTGGTTATGTTAATCCCAAACGAAGCGAACTAAGAGATAAGGCCATCAAAATGGGAGCCAAATATAGTCCCGATTGGAGTCCCAATTGTACTCATTTGATGTAAAAAAAAATTTCTAAAATAATTGTTTTTATGATATATCAAAAGTTTTAGCTAATCTTAAAATTTTTTAATAACCATTTTTTTTTAATTATAAACAGCTGTGCTTTTATCAACACTCCCAAGTATAACGATGTCAAACAACAAAGTGGTCGCATTGTTACCGAAAAATGGATCGAAGATTGCTATAATCAGAAACGACTAGTCTATTGGCGAAAGTAAGTGATGTTTTGTTTAATTACGAGTACCGTATACCGCAATCTTATCGGACCTGTCCTAAATTCGATTTTGGAAAATTACCGTGTATCTATGGTCCTATATGATGACAAAATAGGACCCCCTGTCCAATGTATGACAAAATAGGACCTCCCGGTCCTATTTTGTTAACAATTCATATAATCATTAAATAAATAATAATTACCGGGACTCAAATTATAGATGTCAACACAAATAAAATATAATATAACCGATACATCAATAGTGGTCCTAAATTTAGTAACTATAAAAAACAACCGGTTACCATGGTCCTATTTCGTGACATTTAAGGACACGTTTTACTTTATAGGACCTGGTCCGATAAGATCGCGGTATACGGTAATAATTAAGTTTTTTTTAAAAATTATTTTTTCTGTTGTGATAATCAAGTTATATTTTGGGCAAATATAATGGACCCGAATCTGATGAATCGGAACCCGAAGCGGAGGACGAACCGCCGATAACTAATCAGAAACAAAGAAAACGTATTCAATATATTGACGACGATGAAGAAGATCAAGTACAAGAAGTTATTGGATTCAATAAGAATAATAATAATACCACCAATACTACCTCAACTACTAACAAGTGTGATGATGACCTCAACAACAATGGTAAACCATCGTCAGCACAACAATCAGGTATTGATATCGATATGAATAATGACGACGATATCTACGATATGGACACCGATAACGAATTGACGGCCACATCTGGAACTTAGTAGTACCGTAGTTATTACCGATATATATATATATATATATATAAAAGTTTATCTATTTTCTCTCTCTCTCTCTCTCTCTCTTAATATTAATGGTTAATAAATTTAATAAATATTTTGTATAATAATACTAATGTTATTTATAAATATTTTTGTTTAAATCCAAAGTGTATGAATTATTATTATTATTAATTATTTAACAATATATATATATAATTAATGTAATTAATTAATTTTTATGATTTTTTTTTTTATAATGACATTATACTAATCACAATCAATGAGTTCAATAGTTTTAAGCATTTTTTTCAGTTTGTCTTCGCCCAGAGTCGACGGAACCTTATATCTTGTAATCCGTTTGACGGCATTATCGATAAGTGCCTTCCAGTTCGGGTCGCACTCCAAGGATCGACCAGATATACAGACAATCATCGTGTATTTGGCTCTCGTGAGGGCGACATTCATCCGCTGCAATGAATTCATAAAACCTATACTATTGTATGAGTTGTTGCTATTGTTTTGTTTATCAAATGCCCGAACACAGGACAGTATAATCAGATCCCTTTCCTGGCCCTGAAATCCATCGACAGTATTGACATCGATATTGATATTCAAATGTTTGTTCTCTAGTTTTCGGTTGATGAAATTTTTCTGGCCACTATATGGTGTAATAATACCGACACTATATCGATGACCATTGGCGGCGCTACCGCTGCCGCCGCCACCACTACTGGATACTGATTTCGGTATTAAGATCTTATCGATAATGTTGATCACTCGCAAAACAAATTCGGCTTCCAATTCGTTGTATTTGTTTGTCGGATCGGATTTATTTTCGACAGTATCGGTAACATCGAAAACAATGTACGGTTTGAGTTTGAAATCGCGAGCATTCTTCAGCTTATCGCTGGTCTTCAACAGTGACGAATAGAACTGTTGCGATGGAAATTCGCAAATCTGCGGATGCATTCGGTACTGTTCGTTGAGCATCAGTATCGGCGACTTATGGTCGGGTTCTTTGCGTTCAATATCGGCAAAAAAGTCGAAAAACCGTTCGAACAACGATCGACCCAATCGGAGACTGTGGGCCTTCTTCGAGATAACAGTGGCCGGCAATTGTTTCGGATCACCAATGAGTATCATTTTGGTCATCCGATAGGCCAACGGCATCAACAGTTCCGGTTCGCTACACTGCGACGCTTCGTCAACGATAACACAGTTGAACGTCCCCTCCCGGTAGTTGTGGTACAGTGTCTCTATCGACGAGGAATGGCTACTATTCAATGTAACCAAAATAATGTCCGCTTTGTCCATAATTTCCAATTTTATTCGATTCTTATTGTGTTCGACAGTCTTTGTTCGCGAAGAACTCAGTTTTTCCAATTTGATAACCAAATCGGCCATCTCTTTGTCATTCCTCAGCAGTTCTTGTTTACGATTTTCTACCCGAAGATTGGCATTTTCCTGTTCCAACTGCGATATCCTTTTTTCAATATCTTTCATCTGTTTGTTACGTTCATCAGTCAACTTCTTAACCTCTTTTTCCATATTATCATCGATGAGGGCGTCCAACGATATCTTACGTACTTCTTCGTGCATTTGCGACGGTTTACCCACTCGTACACAGCGTAGCGCTCGGCGACACTTGTGTCGCCTAAGAAACTCCCGTTCCCTATAGAGTCGTCGGGTAATCTCGTCGACGGCACCATTAGACGGCGCACAGATCAATATTCGCGGCAATCGGTCCACTGAATCGCATTTCATGTAAATACGTTTGATTATACCTATAAGCGTATGTGTCTTTCCCGTACCCGGCGGTCCCTGTATTAGCAGTACTTTGGGAACAGCGTAGGGACGGCTAATGATTTCGCAGCTGCCATGAATTGCCCGGATTTGCGATTCGTTAAAGTTTGTCGTATCCATTGTTATGTTTGTCGGCACCACTACCTGACAGGTGAACGATCGCGGTTTGAGTATGTCTTTGAACAGTTGACAAGTGTTCAGACTGGAGATCAGTTCAATTTGACGCAAAGTCGGCTTCAGATAGTAGACATCGCGAAAAGTAATACCTTCTTTACAGTTAAGCCTCAATGGTTTGGCCATCAAAAACACTGTATACTTCAGTAGCATCTGATTGTTTGATCCTTTACCTGAAACTGCTAGACCCGGGAATGTCATTGTTGTCGGTGTTATCGGTTCTTTTGAATAGTCGCTAACATAGCCGAACACCGATATCTTTCGTTTTTCATTGTTGGCACCGATATCGATGACCAGATCGACAATAATTAGATGACCTTCAGTAGGATAACACTGGGTCTTCAGCTTAGATCTGTGCGCTAGTGTCTGGAAACTAATGGTAATAAAATGTTCATCAGATGAATATTCCGGATTAATCACTGCCCGATATGTTTGTTGTTGTTGTTGGGATTGTTGTCTGGATTTACTATTGTTGAACTCATCAAATATTTGAGCCCACGTTTCAAACAATAATAACGGTATGTAAGCTGATTGGTATTCTTCGAGTGAGTCGTAGGATATCTGTACACCGCATCCGTCGCCGTATGGACTCAACGGTGGCGGCACTTCGTTGGCCACACATTCGGATAGCCATTTGGTATTCCAGTCCAATATGATGGCCAACACTGAATCGGGACTGTATTTGGATTCGCAGACATTTTCGTTGAGTGTCAACGATCGTCGCTTATTACCGGTCAGACCGGTCAATGGCGGTACCGGACCTCTCATTACCGGTACTTCGGGTGCATAGACTGTCGGCGAAAAAGCTTTACCAAATGTACGTTCACTTTGGACGACACGATTCAGATCAGTCTTCTTGTTGTTATTGACCACACATTTCTCGTGATTGGCTTTCTTTCGGTTCAACACTTCTTGAACTGAATACTCACTTTGTTTGACATTAGTTGTAATTTTTTGTCTTTTATTATTATTATTATTATTACTACCATTAGGTCTATCAGTAGTACCCATACTATTGATCCCTCGATTATCACTTCTATTATCATTAGCTCTATTGTCACGTCTATTATCATCAACACGTCTATTGTCAGCGACGACGACAGTAGGGATAGCAATGTCAATGTCTTCTTCCATGTGGTCATTGTTTTCAATATCTTGTTGTTGTTGTTGTGTATGATTACCGACGCCGACGACACCGTCTTTCTTGTTATTATCATTAGTCGTCGTCGTCGTCATCGTTGTTGTCTTATTTTTGACGACATTATTACTATCTTTATTGGATGCCATCATATCTCTCAATAGACCATCTGTTCGGTTACTTCGGCTATTGACGGCAATGGCTGGCCTGTTGTTGGTTGTTGTCGTTTGCCGTCCATTGGTGTTTGCCGTCGCCGCCGCCAGTCTATCGGTTGTAGTATTATTGATATCGGTGTCGTAGTCATCGTCGTCGGCTGCTGTAATCGGCTGACACTTCCAGTTGATATTGTCCAGAGCTGTCAGATAGTTGTAATTATCATCGCTTGAATCGTCCGAAGACATCAAATCATTGTAATCGACGACATATTGTTGTCCATTCATTGTTATGGTTATGATATCTTCTTCTTCGTCTGCATTAAACTTGTGGTGATCACAATCGTTGGTCACAATCGGTGGTCAACACTATAGTGATAATCAAAAAAGCATTGACTGATTGATTGATTGTTAGTCACAACAAAAAAAAATAATAAACAAAAATAATAAGTAAAACATTTGACAAATAATAATAAAAAACTATTCAATGTTTACGAATCACTATTGAAATACATTAATAATAATATTTTTATTTTATTTTTTTTTTTTGAATGAAATATTAGTTTTAATAGTATTTTTTTCGCAATACATAAGTGACGCTAACTTTATATATAATTCAAAATTGAAATAAAAATTTTTTAAATTATATATTTAATTATATATATTTTTAATCAAAAATTATTTATTACTATTTATTTAAATTTATTTATTTAGTAAATTAACATTAATTATAATTAGTATTATTATTAACTATTATTATTATATTTAAAAAAAAATAATTATTGCTAAACATATTGTATTTGTAATATAGTTATAACTGATATTTTAAATAATTATTAGTAAAATTGCGCCAAAAAAAAGTAGATAATTATTTGTATATTACTGATAATAAAATCTATTACTAAAATAATTTATTATACTGTAATTTATGAAGTTTAATTTTTTTGTTGTAAAACTACCATGGTAACATACATTCAACATACAATATACAGTATATTCTCTCTATATATTACTTACTAAACAAAAAATTAATCTAGCTAAAATTAAACTTTACTAAATTTACTGTATATACAGGTATTATTGATATATTTTTTTTATTAAAAAAATAAATAAATTTTTGCTTATTAGAGAAAAATTAATATTTTTTAAAAATACTAAATCAATCAAATTATAGTGTTTTGTAAATTATTTTTATAACTTTTTTACTATTAATAAATTAAATTATATAAAATTAATTATAAATTAGTTAAAAATGTATGTAATGTTTTAAAAGTTTTTTAATGCATAAATTGATTAATAATTTATAACCAATTTTAATATAGTATAATATTTTTACACATTTTTTATAAATTACTAAAGTTAAATTATCTTATTTATAAAAATAATATTCAATTTAAACATTCAAAAAAAAAACTTTTAGTTTTATTTGTCATTGATAATTTTTTTAGTAATAATTATTTTGTTATTGATAATATACAATGTTTGTACAATATTTATTTTTTTTTTAATTGATTATTGATTATAAAAATAATTTAAATGTCATTAAACTTATCATATGATAATTATTTTTTTTAATAATCATAAACATTATAAACTATGTATGTTTTGTTAATATGTTTGATTAAATTATGTGCTATTTATACTATTTTAAACATTGACCAAGGCAAATTGATGATATATGTCACATACACACACATATATGATATTATAATTAATAGTTTTGTATTTTAATCAATTATAATCAAATTATTTAAATATTCAATTCAATAAAAAAAAAATCAATAGTAATTCATAATAACCTTATATTTTAATTAATAAAATTTTTTGTCATATATATATATAAATTGATTTTTTGATATAAAAATTTTTATAACTTTATAATACTGATAGCATATTAATATAGTTATTGTATAAATAAATTTAATTTAACTTTAAATAATACTAAATAAATACTGTAATAATAATAATTATAATTATAATTTCGTTGAATATTAAATTATGATATTGAATAGTATTATCAGATAAAATAAAATATTTTAATTAATTAATTAAATATTTAATTTAATTATTTGGATTAAAGCAGATTTTACCAGATTTTTATATATGACTTATGATTAAGTTATGAAAGTTTTCAAAAATAAAAATTATTGAAATATATTATGAAATAATTATAAATATCAATAATTATTTATATTAATTATTAGCAATATATTTATTTAAACAAAATATGTAATTTATATATTTGAAAAGTCATGTGAAATGTTTTAAAGTTTTTTTTGTTGTTAATTACATTAATTTAATAATCTGTTAAAAATAAATGTTTAAAAAAATCAATAATAATCTTTACATATCAAACAAAATTATTTTTTTAAAAAAATTATGTGATAAATGTATGATTTAACTATTAATATTAAATATATATAATTTATTTATTTTTTTTTAATATAAACAACTATCAAATCATATAAAAAAATTTATTATAATAATATGTATATAAAACAAATTAAAGTTTGTAACATATTTTTGTTTCAATAACAGCAACAAAAAATTGTTATATAATCTAACAAATGTTATTTTAGTGAAAATAATTTTATTATAACCACTAAACAAAATTTTTTTAGTTTGATTGCTTGATGACATACTTTATAATAATAATAATAATAATAATATCATATATACTGTACTTATAAAGTCATCTATTAATATAAGGTTGACTTTTCTAATCAATAGTAAATTTTATTTTATTTTTTTGTTATCTTTTATTTATTTTAAATAAAAATTTTTATTAATCAATGGATCCATTTGTTTAGCGAAATATATATACAGTATATATACTAATAGTAAGTGTAGAAAATTTTTTGTAATCATTTAGTATTTAATAGTTTTAGTATACATTTATAGTAAAATTATTACTCATTTTTTTAAATATTAAATAAGTTTTAGTTATTTAATTTTTTTTTAGAAAATTATTAAAATATGATATTATGTTTATTATGTTATTTTTTTTTATTTATAAAGATTGCCTAACACTGAGCTAATAACATAAAAATTTATAGATTAGTAATTATTAAAAATTTTTTTAATTAGTATATAATTTTTTTAAAAAAAAGTTAACAATGATACCAATTTAATAATAATAATAATGAATAATTTAAATAAATCAATTATCATAATTTTCAATATTTTAGTTATTTTATTATTTATCGCATTTTTATATTATCATTTTACTGATGATAATCGTTATAATAATAATAATAAATTTAATAATAATTATAATAATCGTCAAAATAGTTTACAAACTTGTCATAATGTTAATCATTGTTTGAATCAAACAAATCAAATGTGTTTTAATAATCAATGTCAATGTGGACCTAATTATAAGCAAAATAATACTAATGATAATTGTATTGAATTTATTTGTAAAACTAATAGCGATTGTCAAGAATTTGACCGAAACTTGATTTGCAAAAAATATGATTTCACAGCCAATCATAACTCTTGTCAATGCAATTACGGTTATGTCTTAAGCCATCGGCTAAACTATTGCCAACAAATTGTCAGCGACACCGACACCGATGAATTGCGATCACTTTTACCATCAATTTCGGCTAACTTAAGACACGATAATCCGTGTCAATCGTCCAGCGATTGCCTTAAAAACGAGATCTGTTTCCACAATACCTGTCAATGTCAACCAGATTATCAATTTGATGGTCAATTGGGTCGATGTCTACTCAGAGATTGTCATTCACATAGAGATTGTCAGCAAATCGATAGCCGAAGACAATGCCGGGACAATGTATGCAATCGATGTCAACCAAACTACTATCTAAATCAGTCGACACAGTGGTGTCAGCAAACATATGGGATGTCCTGTTCCCGGAGCTGGGATTGTCAACAGTTTGGCGATGAGAATCAACGGTGTCTGGATGGCCAGTGCCAGTGCCGGGCGGCGAACCATACGTTTAGCGCCGGGTTAGCCAAATGTGTGTCTAAACATCTACCACAACCACCACAACAAGCATCACCACCTAATGAACCATCGACGGCAACGATGTCGGCCTGCATTGTGGACACTGATTGTCTAATTCACGATCCACTGGCTGTTTGCAAATCCCATCGATGTCACTGTCCTAACAACTATGTTGCCGTTCCCGTCGATCAGTACTATCGGTGCCAATTCGATACATTCAATCTATGGTTTCTTTGGCTACTCTGGTGGCTACTGTTGATACCTGTCCTAATGATAGCCGTAATACTCTACAATAGATTACGAAAATATTATTTAAATAAATTTGTAAATAATAATGAATCGATAAATAGTAAAACACCGCTAATTATAATTAAGAGTAATTCAAAAAATTATTTGTAAATTTTTTTAATAATTATTTTATTTTTTTAAAAAAAACTATTGATTATGACTCGTCTATCTTTAAATATGATACGATATGATTTTATTTTATTTTTAATTATTTTATTTAATTATTTAATAAATACGATTATTTTATATTTATTATTATATTTATAAATAATTTTTTTTACTAATTAAATATTTAAGTTTTACAATAAATTACCAGCTATACAAAACAAAATTTTTCATTAAAAAAATTTCGTATACTTTTTATTATAATTTTTATCATTATTATCTACTGGTATTATATTAACAATTTATAATTACTTTATATATAAAAAAGTTTTATTACATTATAAAATGTAATTAATTTGTAACTAATTTTTAATACTATTATAATAGCATTGCGCGCGATATTTACCTAACAATTAATTGAATGATTGTTTTATATGAATATAGAATCTAATAATTAAAAAATCCTAAAAAATATTTGATATCAGAATCGGAAACCAATATTAGGGGAAAAAATATTAGATTTTTATCTATTTTTTAGATTTTGGTTTATTTTAAACAAATAATTCATTGATTGATACTTGAATTGATATCAACAACAAAAAAAACTTTTTCACACTTAAAATATATCTACGAATGGGTAACAGTTTGTCGCAACTGTTTGGTCAGACACCGGCCGACTCAGACTCCGCCGCCGCCAACGATAGTCTTAACGATTCAATCAATACCAGCGAAACTGGCGACCAATCGTTTCGCGAACTGCAAGAAGAAACTGGTTTTACTCGCAGACAATTGGAACAGTTTTACGAACGATTCAAAGATTTGGTCCGTTTTCGGGCCAAAGGAGACGTCGAAAAGTCAACGTATATAACGGTCGAAGATCTTTCATCGTTGGAATCAATTAGATTGAATCCATTGGGCGACCGTATTAGCCGTGTGTTCATCAGTTACGCTACGACCGAAAATTCAATGAAATTTCCCGAATTTGTCAAAACTTTGGCACTGTTTCGGACCACTTCGGGCGATAAGGAAGACGATCGGCAAAAGAAACGAATTGAAAAACTCCGGTTTTTATTCAAAATCTACGACACAAGAAATGATGGATCAATTACTGACAAAGAGTTGTGCGAAATATTGGATAAAGTATTCAGCGATAAGGCGGACAAAAAAGAAATGTCTAAACAAGTCGTTCAAGACATGAACAAAGGTATCGGTGATAGTGTTTCGTTTGACGACTTTTGCCGCTATCTGTCATCTGTTGACATCGACATCACATTCAGTTTGCCATTTCTGAAGAGAAGATCCCGATAATTGATTTATAACTACTAATAATAATATTAATTTCAATTATAATAATTTTTTCTAAACATTTAATTTCAATTAATATTATTATTATTATTAGTAAATTAATTAATTAATTGTACATTAATTGAATATATGATAAATATATATATATATATATTGTAAAAAACAAATATATATAATTTATTTCCACATATGATTAAAACAACAATTTTATTCAATTATTTTTTTTAAATAAACAATTTTTTTTGTAATAAACAAATGTTTCAACAAAAAAAAAAGTTTCAAAGTATTTCATAGAGGAAATAGAAAGTTATAAATAAAATTTTAAATATTTTTCAAAGTTATAATAATAATAATAGTATTATATTACAGGTAAATAATAATTTATTATATACTGTAAGTTAATGTAAAGTAAATGTATAGTAATATAACATTTTTTTTATAAACTTTTAACTTTATAAACATTATTATTAATGAAATGTTAAGACTATTTAAATAACTAATAATTATATATAAAAAAGTTTTTGAAAGTAAAATCTACTATTAATATATGGCAACAAATTTATTTTAATTAATTGTAATCACTTTATTTTTATTATGACAATCAATCAAACAATTAAACTATATTTTAGTAAAATTTTTTTAGAAATTTTACACATAATATACACATTACTTAATTAAAACAATATATACTGTTAATAATAATAATAATAGCAGATCTAGTAATTAACCCATAAGTGTGTATGACTTAGTTTGCGTAAATAGTTTTCAATAATAATAATAATAATTGTGATAAATATTCAATTAGTAGTAGTAGTAGTAGTAGTAAATTGTTTTTAAAAAAATTTCAAAACAATTAGCAAAAAAAAATTAGTAAAATACAGTATACATTATATTTTTTTTGGAAATATTATAAATACTATACTAATATTATAGATAGACTGCAATAACAATAAAATTATTAAAATTGTACTTGTATATATATATATATAAATTTATATTGTATTTATATATCATAACATTTAACATAATTGAATGAGAAAAAAAAACAAATTCAATATACATAACATTTAAATTAAAGGAATGATATTTTTATAAAAAAAATTATTTGATTGAAAATAACATACACTAATAATATTAAATTAGTAATATTTATAAAAAAATTAATAATAATAATAATAATAACAAAAATTAATAACCATATAATAATACCGTATATATATTATACATATTATTATTGAAATTAATGTTAGTTTTATATATCAATATACTGTATATACTCTTAATGTGATCCAGACTTCGAGTGAGAAATAAGCCATTGAAGTGTTATATCTTAAATAAATGGATAATAATAATAATAAAATTTATAACTAACTATATATTTAACTAACTAATTAAAAACTAATAGTTAATTATATTAATTAATTAATTAATATATATACCGATATTATCTTTTTCTTTACACGATATTGAATAACAACAAATTTCTCGGTCCTGAATGGCCGCTAAATTCCTGGATAATATAAATCGGTAATTGAAAAAAAAATTAATTACCGGTAATTAAATAACTAGGATATCATTTATGGCCACAAAAAAAATCAATCAAATGGTTACAAACATTTGCTCAATGAGTTCCTTCTCGTCCAAAGCGTTTGGCAGATCGCGTTTGTTGCCCAACACCAGCACCGGTATGCCGGCCAACTGGGGCTTCTCCAGCAAGTTGTGCAACTCGTTACGGGAGGCTTCAACTTTGTCCTGGTCGGCCGCGTCCACCATATAACTAGTTCAACAATAACAAACAAACAGATAATAACCAATTAAATCAAATCAATGAATCAATTAATTAAATTAATACACTATAGCGTTGACACCGCGACAATATCGTTCCCACATTGACCTGAACCGTGGCTGACCACCGATATCCCAGATCTACAGATACACAGTCAAGCAATAATCATAAACATAATCAAATCAATAGATCCTATGATATCTTATTATATAAGATAATAATGGCCTATACTTTGATGGTAACGTTTCCTTTGGTCACTTTTCTCATATTGAAGCCGACGGTCGGTATCATGTCTTCGCAAAATTGTCCCGACTATACAAACAAACAAACAAAACAAAAGAGATGATCAATCAATTTGATCCAATGATTTGAAGACACACTTACGGCTATAACGTTGACAAACGTTGTTTTGCCTGAATATTGGAGACCAACTAATGTCAGTTCCATCTCTTCCTTCCAGAACAAGCTCTTCAGCCAATCCAGTATACGGTTGACCAGTGCTAACATATTTTCGGTGTTGTTGTTGTTGTTACCACTTCTTCAATCCAATCCAATCCAATCCAATCAATCAATCGATAAATAAAAACCACAGTTTTTTTTTAGTCAAACACTAACTAACAATTCATTGACAATACAATATCATATGATTTGATAATAAAATATTTTATTTTTTTGTTGTTTTTGTGCTATCAATGAATCATTGATTCAAATACTAGTATTTAATATTATTGTCAAATAATATGTATTTGTATTGTTATTATCACTACCAGTGTATATATGCTATGGATTGATAATAACAAAACATATTATACTGTATTCAATCATTCATATAGATCATGTCATTATAAATAAGGAGGTGGGGGGTGGGGGTGGGCTTTAACTAACTGTTTGGATATATTGCCAATTAATTATAAGTGGGGGGGGGGACGGTTTCATTTATAGTACGATACGATACGTGATTTGTGTATTTGCATATAGCAAATAGCAATGAATATTAAATGTCTATTTAATTTTATAATATACAGTAAAATTGAAAATTTATTAATTTATATGTTTTATTATATCTAATTGTTTTTAATTATTTTTTTTTGTTGTTTTGTTAACAACTATACTATAATAAATAAGATTAATTTTATTATAATAAAAAAAATTTTTGTAAGGGGTTAAAAACACAATCAACAAAAAATAATATCAAGTTTATATTATTTTTTTTAGCTAGCTATTTTTTTAGTAGTAGTAGTATTAGTCCAAAATAAAAAAAGTGGGTGGATAAAATTTACTATTATTAGTATTATTATTAAGTTACCATGGTACATGTAGTATAAAAATTGTTTAATTTTTTTTAAGTAAGTTTTTTAAAAAATAGCTAAAAATATTTTTGTTTAAATATTATTTTCTATAGTTATTTGTGTGTGTGTGTGTAATAAATTTGGGTTGGGGGTGGGTGGGGGTAAGTGGATGACTTGTATATAAAACAAAAAAAAAATTAATTGATTAATAAATATAATTTTTAAAAAAAAAAATTATATTTTAGTACAATACAATAATGAGCTAGGGTGAATATTTTTATTTAAAAAAAAAAAAATAATCGTTGTGGGGGCAACTTGATCAATGGGAATTTTTATAATTAAAAAAAACAAATTTAATTAATGAACCATGCTATTAAAAAAAGTAGTAATTTATTTTTTTATTTTTTTACTATTATCATTAATTTAATATAAAAAATAAAATTATGTGCATGGACAAATTTTGATGTGATTTTGATTGGCTATCACTACTACTACTACTACTACTACTATATAATATAACTAGACATTAGAGATAAAAGTTCACATCGATATATATATATACAGTATAACCAATATATTCATTGATATAACAACACATATACTCTACTATACTGTACTGTAGTATATATATCGTATGGCTTAACGTAATGCTAATACAACACACAGTGTGTAGTATTAGACGTAGTGTTGCTATAATGTACAGTAGTATTACATTATATGTGTTGCTCTCTCTCTCTCTCTCTCTCACTGTATATATGTTGTTATGATATGTCGATCGTTCACTCATTTGCTTTATATTTATATATACGACAAACCAATGCAACAGTGATTTTCGCTTTTTCTATGAGAGAGAGAGAGAGAGAGAGAGAGAGAGAGAGAGAGAGAGAGAGAGAGAGAGAGAGAGAGAGAGAGAGAGAGAGAGAGAGATCTACAGTGTGTTTACATAAATCACTCCAATATTATTGATATAAACAGTTTACAGTGCTATGTATACTAGTATTATATAAAAATATTTTACATAAATTAAATATTTGTAATTATTATATAAAACTGTATGCATTTAAATAATTTTTATATATAAAATAAACATGCACAAAATTCAGTATCTCTATATTTACAACAACAAAAAAAAATAAAATTCAAAGTTTATAATGTTATATATTTTTTTCTCATTATTACTATATGTTTTAAAATTTTATAAATGCTAGCTACAAGTATTATTTTAATTATAAGTTTTTTTTATAAAAAAAAAATTCATAATTGCATATTAATATTGAAAACAACAAATACACAATAGTTCAAATTTTATTTAATATATATTATATTTAACTAATGTATTTTATTTATATTATAAACATTGAATTTTATTTTATTTAAAAAATAAAAATAAATATAGAGATACTGAATTTTGTGTGCATGTTTATTATATATATATATATTTAAATGTTATATATAAATAAAATATATATATATAAAAATAAAATAAATTAGTTAAATATTATTATATATAAATGTATATATTATAAGATAATAATTTTTTTTATTATTATTGGACAGACATTTGGTACACACACTGTAGTTACACACACACACACACACACACACACACACATACAGTGAGTGCACTGTAATATTACAATAATAATAATACAAACACATAGAGAGTTCAATCCCCTCCTAATATGGCTGACAGACAACTAAATACAATATATAATACATTATTTGAATGAGTAGTGAACTAACACTTTCAAGATATGAGACATTGACACCAAAAATATAAAACATAAATAATAGACATTTTTTTGTAAATCATATGGTAATGATGATAATGATGATGATGAAGATGATGATGACTATGACCATGACCTACCTTAACAATGACCATCACCATCGATACTAGAAGGATCATCATCATCAGCAACAGCAGCAGCCATCATGTGTCCATTACCATCGATGACCACCATCGACACCACAACGATGATGATGATGATGTTGACCATCACTTTAGAGGACAATTGATTTGATAAATCAATTAAGTCACCAATTAAGTTGATCCCCCCATAAAGATCATCGATATATACAGTATATATAGCATCAAAACCATTGTTGTTGTTGTTGTTGTTGTCTTGAGATATATATACGATAATTAATTTGATCCAACATTTGGATGGCAACAACAACTACTACTACTACCACTACCATCACTATGTGTTGTCTATCGATAGTGTGATTTGAAGACATTAACCATTGATTATATATCATATGTTAAAAGTCAGTATAAAAATTTAATTATAATATAATTGATATGATATTTATCCCCAATTTTTTTTTTTTAATAATGGTTTTAATGTTGACAACAATTTTTTTGTTGATTGTTTACATATCAATCAATTAATGATTGTTTAATCAATTTTTTTTATATATATTTATTAGTTATTTATATGATTTGACATTTGAATTGTTGATATCACTAAATGTTGATCACTGTTATGCATGCAATGTCAATGTAAACAATAATAGTAATAATCATTTTTTTATTAAACCAATTTAATTAATATTACATTTTAATGTCTCTCTCTCTCTCTCTCTCTCTCTCTCTCTCTCTCTTGAAAACACAGATCTCTTGGAGTTGAAAGTGATTTGTTGTCGTCATCGTTGTTGTTGTTGGTGTTGAAGTCGGTCTATCTCATCGTGCAATGCCATTGTCTCGGACCAGATCACTCATCAGCAATATTAATGGCGTAAACTCGATGTCCAATTCTGAATCGTTTTTGCCACAGATTTCCGATAAGAATCAAACAGCGATTTTGCCGCCGATCAGCAAAACGCTAACGTTTGACGCTTTTAGGACTACTAATAATACTACTAATACCATCATCGATGGTCAAGAGTTGCATGGAGTAATTGAAGACAATAATGGTCTACTTAATGGACACCATCATAATCATCATCATCAACAACATCAACATCAAAACGGACACAATTTGATGCACAACAATACCAGTCAACAGATGGCCAATCATTCGGCCGATGTTAGTCCGACGTCAGGTTCCCAGTCCACTGACGAAATGGACAAAAGTTCGACAACAGTTACCAGCAATGGTGGAGGAGGTGGTGGTGGCGGAGGATTGAAAACGAAACCATTGGTGGTAACGCCGAATCAGGTGATGAAATTGTATGCATTCAAGTTGACGCCGTACGAACACCAGGAAGTGTTCAGCTATTCACACATCTACTTCATCGGTGCCAACGCCAAGAAACGACAGGGTGTTATCGGCGGACCGAATAATTGCGGCTACGATGACGAACACGGCTCGTATTTGCACGTACCGCACGACCACATTGTCTACCGATACGAAATGTTAAAGATTATCGGCAAAGGTAGCTTCGGTCAGGTTATCAAAGCCTACGATCATAAACTGCAGCTGTATGTAGCCTTGAAAATGGTACGCAACGAGAAGCGATTCCATCGACAAGCCCAGGAGGAGATCCGCATCTTGGATCATATGCGCAAACAAGACAAAGACAATTCAATGAATATTATACATATGTTTGAAAATTTTACATTCCGTAACCATATGTGTATAACATTTGAACTGTTATCAGTTAATCTGTACGAACTGATCAAGAAGAATAAGTTCCAAGGATTTAGTATACAATTGGTCCGAAGGTTTGCCTATTCTATACTCAGATGTCTGGAGGCTCTCTATAACAATAAGATAATACATTGCGATCTCAAACCGGAAAATGTATTACTCAAACAACAGGGCCGATCGGGTATCAAAGTTATCGATTTCGGGTCGAGTTGTTTCGAAAATCAACGGGTCTATACGTATATACAATCAAGATTTTATAGGGCACCCGAAGTAATACTCGGCGCCAAATACGGTATGCCCATCGATATGTGGAGTCTGGGCTGTATACTAGCCGAACTGGCCACCGGTTATCCCCTATTGCCCGGTGAAGACGAATTCGATCAGTTAGCCTGTATTATCGAATTGCTGGGAATGCCTCCGCAGAAACTATTGGATCAATCGAAACGAGTCAAGAATTTTATCAGTTCCAAAGGACTGCCCAGATATTGTACATCGACACCACTATCAGATGGTTCAGTGGTTGTCAATGGTGGCCGATCGCGACGTGGCAAACATCGCGGACCGCCCGCATCGAAAGATTGGTCGCTGGCGCTCAAAGGTTGCGACGACGAATATTTCATTGATTTCATTAAGAAATGTCTCGAATGGGATCCAACAATCCGTATGACACCCTATGTAGCTCTAAGACATTCGTGGCTAACCAGACGCCGACTGCCGCGTCCGCCGCAAAACAGTGATAACTCGGCGGTCAGCGAATCCTCACCTATTCGACTACATAATAATTATCATACAAACAACAACAACAACAACAATATAATCAATAACAACAACAACATTAGTAATACTAATAATAATCATAACAACAACAACAATAATAATAATACCACCAATTCGTTGGTCACGAATGCATTGACCAGTAGAGTACGGAAATCGATGGTCGATGAGGTACTGCTCGGTGAAAGTGATGGCACTTATCTGACCCGTATTTGGGACCCGAATAATAGTGATACAAATTTAACATTGGGTCGCAGCAAAACTGATCGCAGTTTACGTAATAATAATAATAATCTTAAAGATAATAGTAGTACCCGTTTAGTCAATACTATCAATAATAAGTTACACAAAGACAAAGTACGGACCGGTGCTGTTGGTGGCGGCGGCGGCGGTGGTGTTGTTCCCGCCGTAGTCGACGATCCGATACAAGTAAACAACCCGGTAGTGACCAGCGCTCAAAATGGTCGCAACCAATGGCCAAACGATGCATACGTTTCGGTTATTAGATTTAAATGATGTTTTAATTGATTAGCTTATTATTATTAATATTATTATTAGATATTATATTATTAATATGTTTTAGTGAATTGAATTGAACTAAAAATTTTCTCACTCATAAACTCTCTTTAAAAAAAATTATTATTATTATAATAATAATATTAATTAATTAACTAATTAATTATGTAATTTAATAATTGAAATTTTTGGCCGTCACTACTACTACTACTACTACTACTACAATGTGTTGTTGTTGTTGTTGTTATGCCAGACATTATATGCAAGATCTGTGATGGAATGGATCAGTGAGAGAGGGACAGTCAGTCAGCATACAAACAGTTAGTTTGTGTGGTGGTGTGTGTGTGTGTGTATGTGTGGGTGGATAGTAGTGATGGGGAAAGACTTATTAGTGATTGTGATTGGATATTATTGATTGTATAGTGTAAATGTTAATTAATAATAATAATAATAATTAATTAATTAATAAATATTAATAATAATCAAGTTATTTGGATGGCCCGCCGCTGATTCAAGATATGCCGTTCCCTCCCCCGATTGATGAGCCAATGTTGGCAATATTGGCCACTACTCTGGGGGTTATTATTATGATTATATGTGTGACTAACGGCTTCTCATAAACAAACAACAAAATACAATAAAAAAAACATTATATTGAATCTCACATATCAGGCAAAACCACCTATAGATCATTCCTATCTCTCTATTGACTAATATCTCTAATTAGCAAAAAATTTTAATTAATTTTTTTTTTATATAAAAATCTGATTATGTCTTAAATCGATAATTGTTGTCGTCTTGTCTGTTACTAAAAAAAAAATAGGTATATATATACTGTATCTGACATACCATTTATACATACCGTACCAATCATTTTTTTTTTGTTGATAATGGATCAGCCATTAAGTTGACAATTATTATTATTATTATGATATAAATAGTATACAATTATACCCCTACCCCACCCCCACACTAATTGTAAATATAAATATAATTTAAAGTAAATATATATATATATATATATAAATAGTATATTACAAGCTATTAGCGCTAGTCTTAAATTAAGACACAATTATTACGTAATTATTATTATTATATACAGTAATGAATGTTTTTTTTTTGGATTATATCATTATTATTATTATTTTTGTGGTCACTAATTTATTATTAATTAATTAATTAATGTTATTATTATGATTAATGGCGTTATTATCAACAAACAAACAAAAATTAATAAATAATTGTAGTAATCATTGAACACACACACACATACATACAAAAACATATTACATGGGAACTATCATAAAAAAATTGTTTTTTTTTAAATAATAATTATTAATAATTAATTTATATATATTTAAAAAAAAATAAGTTGCACCAAAAAAAAGTCATCGATAATTAAAATAATAAGCTCTGAGATCATGTGTGAGGACAGGTATCTCAACCAACCAACCAAAACAAATAATGTCCATTGGATTTGTCCATTGATGAGGGATTTATTATATTAAAAATAAAATAAAAAACTTTTTATAGCCGTCCGCCTCATTTACATTACCACACACTTTACTACACCATTCAAAAAAACGTTTTATATATGATAATGTTTACAAATGTTTTTTTTTGATTGATAAATTATACACTATTATTACTATTGTACTATTGTTGTATTACTTATTACTATTACTATTTAATATACTGTATTTGTATTACACACACACACACACACACACAAACATAAATACACCAATGAATTGTATTTGTAAACCAATATCCAAAATATCCGATAGTAACCGGTAATGTCCACAAAAAAATAAAAAGTATAGTATACACACAAAAATTGTTGGCCCGATATATATACCGGTTATTTATATATATATATATATATATGTATAACCGCGTGTGTGTGTGTTAGATGAGAGTGCCATATATATATATATATACAGGTATTATATATATATATACCCCGGGTATATATATACGGTAAATATAGTGCAGTGAGAAATTTTTTTTTAAAAAAGTGCATTTACCCTGATAGTTGTTGTTTAATTAACTGCTAATATATACATGTATAACAAATTAAAATAATACAGTACTAACTATCACAGCTATTGTTACAAAAAAAAACATTTTTAAACAAACAAACAAATAATAAAAAAATAAAAACAAACCAATGATCCAATGTATGTCCTCTTTTTACTATACAATACAAAACAAACAAAAAACAATTGTTGTTCACATTATAATAATTAATAATAATTAATTAATTTAATTAATCAATTTGGATTAATTAAATTAATTGATAATAATTATTATTCTAAAAAAAAAAATTTTTTAGGCATTTTGAATTGCAATTTTTCTCATGTTATTATTATTATTATTATTATAATTATTACTATTTAATTATAATTATACAAACATTTGTATATGTAATTAAAACTATAACTATAAACTAATTATTATTATTATTATGATTATTATCTAATTATCTCTTGATATTCAAATATATTCAAACAAAAAGTTGCATTTTTATTTATAATTGATTTAAAAAAAATAATATTAATGAGTCATATTGTAAATGTATTTAAAACAAAATACCTGGATGATTTAATTGATGATGATGATGATTTAAAAATTGAACTATGACATTTGATAGTAAATAATATACTGATAAATTAATTAAATAAAATTAAATAAATAAAAAGTCCAATTGTAAAATTTTAATGTATGTACCATGATAATGTTTTTTATTGTTTTATCTTGATGATTTTTCAACAAAAATGTGCATAGATAATTTTAGTTATTTGTAGTTTTATGTTTAAATGTTTAAAAAAAACTATTGAAAATATTGGTTTGGTTTTTATGTTTTACAACAATTTAAAAAAAAAATTAATTATACAGTTTTGGTTTGGTTTCCTTAAAAAAATTAAAAATAATTACTACTATTATACTAATCTAACTAATCAAGTAAGTAAGTTTACCATGATAATTTTATTATAGTTATAATTAAATTAAATTAGGTTAATTATATTATATATAATTTTTATATTTTTAAACACTAGATGGCATTAATTATTTGTATAGTATGTGTCAATTTATTATTGAAATTTTTACAATACATTGCGTTATTATTGCGATCCATACATTTTTCAACATTTGCACACATACATACACATACATACTGTACAAACACATACTGTACATACAGACATACACACACACACACACATACATTCACACACACACACACACACACATACACACACATAAATACATATACATATACATATACACATACACACACACACATACACACATACACACATACACACATACACACATACACACATACACACATACACACATACACACATACACACATACACACATACACACATACACACATACACACATACACACATACACACACATACACATAAATACATACATACACAACACACACATTATATACATATACAGTAATATATTGTATGTTATGTACTGCACTATTTTAAAAAAATATAATAATAATGTGAAATTGTAGAAAATGTATGGGCATTACATTAAATATATTGGAAAAACGTATGGAGAATGTTATGGAAAGCCATAGACAACACAACACAACACAACAACACATTTATATTATAACACTCTAATCGAATACAACAAACAAAACACTATTTAGTTTAGTAATACAGAGTCTACACATTGAATGCTATTATAAAAAAAAAAACTAATAAAAAACTAATACATTATTTACTAGTGTTTTGTTACTATTATAGAGTAAATAATATAATAATTATTATTATTATAATAAACAGTAAATCAATAACAATATAACAAATAATTATTGTTATATTAGTTGACAAATACTAGTAGTAATAGTGATAATCAATAATAAAATCAATTTTTTTTTTAGTGATAATTGAAAAGTTCATCAGTGGTTAACACAGACAGACAGACAGCAAACACAATGGCCGACTGGGATGAGGTGACAGTACTGAGAAAACGGCCGCAAAAAGCGTCGGCAATGAAAACCCAAGCGGCCATCAATGCCGCCCAAAAACAAGGTATACCCGTTGAGACCAGCAAGAAATACGGTGCGGCCACCAACAAACATCCGGTGACCAGTATTAATACGGCCAAATTGGACAGGGAAACCGAGGAACTACATCACGATACTATTGGCCAGGAAGTTTGCCGTATTATCCAACAGTGGCGCCAACAGAAAGGTATGACTCAGAAGGATTTGGCCACAAAAATATGCGAAAAGCCGCAAGTGGTCAACGAATACGAGTCGGGTAAGGCCATACCCAATCAGCAAGTGTTGGCCAAACTGGAGCGGGCGTTGGGCGTGAAGTTGAGGGGCAAAGAAAAAGGTCAGCCGCTGGTACCGAAACCGGCGAAAAAGTGATCAATTGATCCGATAACCAGAAACCAATGCCGTCGATAACTACCATACATATTGAATTAAATGAAGATTTTTTTCTGTTTTTTTTCTTTTTTTGATTTTATTTACCATAAGTTTTGTAATTAAATTAATTAATTAATTAATAACACTATAAACTATATAATAATTAATAGTTTGTATATTTGATATATATTTGATTGCAATTTCATTCAATTTTCTTCAAACAACAACAAAATAGTTTATCAAAAAAAAATAACAATATATCAGATGTAATAAATAAATTTATATTTAAAAAATATATATATATTATGTTATGAATCTTATTATATATGATATGATATATAACTTAATGATTATACGATTTAAAAAAAAAAATGAGAAACAAAAATGAAATATCAATCAAAATAGTCATCGATGTCTACATTAATATCTAGTAATTGGTCGCCAAAACAGCTTAAATCCAATTGATTTAGTATTAGATTTTCAAATGTTTCCTCAAGTTCTGTATCGCCAACAAGTATAGCACCGATCATCCGATGATCGCTATTGAGTACAACTTTAATCAATTGTTTGTTATCTTCGGTAACTTTGACCAATGTTTTACACTGGCTATGATCGCAAACATTCTGCCAGTTATACTGACCCAATAGTACCACTTTTCGGTCAAACAAATAAGTCAAATGCGAAAACAATTCAAAATTGAAATATATCTCAGCACTGGTACTATGGATATCGGCGGCTATACATAGAGCCGAATAGCAGCCCATTTGTCGGGCCTGTGACCACAGCCGCATCTGAAACCATCGATCATTGGCCGGATGCCACGCAACTGAACAGCAATCGCCGGCTGCATAGACATCCGGTTCGGAGGTTAACATCTGGTTGTTTACCTATCCATCCAAGACATTAGAGTTAGCATACAATTAGTTATCAAAATCAATAACAACAACAACAACAAAAAGTGTCTAACAATTAGTCCGCCTTCGGCTCCTATGGCAAAGTTATTGCCCAGTAGTATAGCATCGGTATTGGGAACCACTCCGATAGCGCTGACAACTAGATTGCAGCCAAATATTCGGCCGTTTGTCAGTTCAACATAAATAGGCCACTCTTGGGCGGTGGTGTCGTCTGAATCTGTTTTTTTGTGGTTCAGTTAATTAATTAATTAAAAAAATAATAATAAGTTTTTTTAAATGATATTTTCTCAGATAATATCTCTACCGGTAATCATATAAAAAACAAACAAATAGACAAACCGTCGATCTTTACAATCCGTGATTTTTGCCGATCATCAACAGTATTGGCAATGGATTGGACCTCACATTTGGTTTCAATGCGTACAGACTTTCGCTGTCGATGATCGGCACCCTTTAGTCGACTCAATTGTTGCCAACTGTCGGGTCCTAAACCTGTGCCAAATAATGTCTGATCAGTTTGTTGTTGTTTTGCGGTCATATTTTGCGGTAATTTTTCGTGACTGTCCGTGACATCATCTCCAGAGTTATTATTACTATTATTACTACTACTACTACTAACAGTAATATCATTCAATTGTCGGGCAAAGAATTCAGATGCCAACGGATCCAAATACGGTGCACTCATGTGCTGGTCTTTGATACACCAGATTAGCTGACAATGTCTAATATGATGGACCAGTTCGCTGGCAATACCGCCGTTGCCGACAATCACTACTCGGTTGGCATTCTTCAGTTTATCAGTAAATTCGCGGACAGTTTGCGTATCTCTGATAACAACGATGTGATCGTTGATCAGTTGTAGGTCGTCATCATCATCACAGCTACAGCTGCTATTGAATCGGATGTCAATCATCTTGGGTTTGGCGCCCAAACAGATGCACAGTTTGTCGTATATCAGTGTCTTTCCCGCCGTCGCCGTCATCTTCTTCAGTGTCAACTCATGTCTTTGTGCATTCAATCCGATCACTTGATCCCTACAAAAGCTAACATTAGGATACTGTTTGGTCAGATAGTCGACACTTTCTTGACTAACATCCAGCTGATCCATAGTACGACCTAATCGACCGACCAAATGGGCCACTTTGATGACATCCACGGGACAAACAAGGACAATGGTTCGTTCGGGTAATGATTCGGCCAATTGTTGACAACACGATACGCCGCTGATGCCGCCGCCGATCACCACAATTGGTAACATTTTTTGTTTGTTTGTTTGATATCTTAAGATATTTTTTCAATCAATGGTTAAATGATAACTAAATTTACAACAATATATATGTATTGATTGTAACACATGTTTACCCATTAGTATACATAACATAACAATAATAATAATATTATTATTATTTGGTTTACATTTCATTACGCAATCACTTACTGTAAAAACTAGTTTTTTAAAAAAAAAGTTTACTTTATATATTCAATACATACTTGCGCTTAGGTATGTATGGGCACAGGGATGTATAGTAGTAGTAGTAGTAGTACTATTGTATAGTAACTATACATATACTGTATTTTTTTATATATACAGAATATTCTTGACTAAAATTTTCAATTAAAGTATTATTATTATTAAACTTGTTATTAAATTGCAAAAAAATAAATGTTAATTAAATCAATATATTTTGCAATTATTGATTTTAAAAAATCAGGTATAATTTCAAAATAATAATAAATACAACAATTTTATTATATATAATAAGTTATATATATATAAATTTATATATAATTTATACATTAATCTATAAAAGTTATAGAATATATAATAGTATACAATTTTTATTTTAAATATTTAATTTATATAATAATAATAATAATGGATGGTATTTAATCTGCTAAATAATATTTTAGATTTTTTTTTGATAAAAAATATTACATATAAATATTTATATATTGAATATATTTAATTATTTAATAGGATGGGAGGGGAGGGGGGAAGGGGTTATCACATTGTGTTTCCCATATTTATTTACATTAATTTAATTCAAATTATTTTTTTTAAAAAAAATTATAAACTAATATTTAAAAAAAACAAATAAATTATTTTAAATAAATTACATAATAAATAACAGGTTCAAACTATCATACTATAAATAAATTACAATAATAATAATAATAATTTAAAAGTGAAATATTAATACTAAATTAATTAATAAATAACTTATTAAATAAATGCTAAATAATGATATCAATCAATCAATCAATAAATATAAATCAATTCAATTTTTTTTAACAAACAAACAAAAAATTAATTAAAATTCAATTTTTTTTTAAACAATACATTTGTTATATATATAATAAATTAATAAATTAATTTTATAATAGGATTTATTTATTTAATTAAAAAAAAAGTTATTTATATTTTTTTATTATTATTATAAATTTTTCCATCAGCTACTGCTATATATTACCGCTGATGGTATTAACCGCTGATGATTGTTGTTGTTGTTGCTGTTGTTGCATAATATCTTGAGATGACATAATAGCTGTCAGGACATCCCTGAAGGCTGTATTGTTTGCAGTGGTTTGTTGTTGTTGTTGACTAATACTTCGCTGCTGATGAAGACGGCGTTTCTTGAATGTCGACCAAACATTACCAAACAACCAATGATTCCGCCGATGCATCGGTTCCCAATCGGGTCCATTTTCAAAATTATCTTCATTCAGATAACCCGAAATCGTACGTTTGATTTCCGGCCCGAATTCGTGTAGCGACCGGAGCCCAGCCTGTAATGCAACGGTATTTTCCTCGTCAGTCGTCTGTTTTTGTTCTTC